GAATGAAGGAAGTAAAATGAATTTACAGTTATATGTACATATGTATAGCTCACATACATATGTATAAAAGCACAAGTAGAATACTAAAAGATTCATTGAATGTATGTAAATGATTACACTCAGAGTCTCAACGGCTTTTGTTGCTGTGCGAGTGATTTTGTGCCCAGCAAGAATATCATTTCTTCTTCTAAAGATAACAGATAAATAAAGTATGACTGTTAAGGGAAACAATTAGCCGGGGAGTCGTAAAAGTTTCGAATTATCGAAAAGAAGGGTGTTGAGGGAACATGGCGAGCTGACAGAAACTTTGGTACTTTGGGTTGAGTTCTAAAGATCGGAATTACATGGTCGTTATTGCACTTATAGCAGAGCAAGGAAGTCGCCAAAGTGATTTTCAGTGAGCTCTTCTCCCGGTATGGGAAGTGTGTCTTGATATTTTCCCAATATATGAAGAGGCTTGCAGTTTATTCTAAGCTGCTTTCGAACAGTCGATGAATTTTTTTCATATCAGATATACACTTGTAGGGCTGCTTAGAGGAGACAGCATTAAGAAAAATTAGTTTTCTATTATTTTGCATCTCAGTCGAAGACGGAACTCGAAGCGTTTCTAACCACATGACTACGCTAAAATAGGTCAGGCAAGGATAAGATGCAAGAAATCATAAATGTTTCCTAAGAACAACATAATAGTTTAATAGATCACTAGCGGACGGGTATTACATCTACTAAGACTTAATCTGGTATGTTCTCAGAACTACAATTAACACAGCCTAGAATGGGATTTCCTAATGTTTTTCCTAAATACACGATACTTCGAGTACTCCAATGACGAAATCCGACAATATGTTCAGCGACAGGAAGGGAGTCTAAATATTATTTGCTGGTGACACGCCGACTACACTGCCGACGACAAGTTGAGCCGAATTTATAGAAACTCGCAGCGTGAAGGCATACAATTGCAGGAATTTGCAGACCTGGTGGTAGACTTTGAGTATATAAGTACCTCCGGCGAAAAACCTTTAAGTTCAACAACACGGCCTTTTTTGCTTCAGCCACAAGAGGAGCGCTGCCACTGAGAGCAACCAGCATTCGCGCACTGCCAAAAGGCGAGAGCCGAGGATGCCAAAGCCAGTGCCCGGATCATATATATACCTTAGAGCCAAATAAGGAGATATTATTTTAGCAACCCTGGGTAACGTATTCTCCTCAATGTTAACTAACAGAAGATCAAAAACAATAAGCTATTTTCACAAAATGGAGATTAAGAAAAGAGAGTTCAGGCATTCCAGTGGCGGGTAATGGTTCTGAGCGTAGTCTGGAGGTGACTTTCTCGCGCAGAAATGAAAATAATGGCTTTTTTATTGTGTTAGAAACACGCGAGCCTTAGACTTCAGTAAGTTCTCGGACTTTGGTAAATGTGCTTATTATCAAATTATTAAGCTTTCCCGAACACAACAGTATTGGGATTTTTTACAACTTTAAGGTGACCAGATAGGTTCTTCCGCCAATTCACTATGTAGCTTGTTCCAGGTAACTGCTAACGAGTGGAGGAATCATTTTAAACACTTTGAACCTTGGACTAAGTACGCTGGTCCCATCGTAAGCAGCCGCATCAACTCAGTTCAATTCAAGGTCTCACAGGCTTTTTTATATACGTACTTACATATATACATATATGTACAACAATACATGCGCATAATAATCGATCTTGGAACCGATTCGTGGAAACTCAAGTAGAACCTTAATCAACTATTTCGTGCTTATCTGTTTTAAATGTCTTCCCATACAATCAGGAACAACAACTTGAACTTAACTAAAATGGAGTTACAAGCTCTTGCTGCAAACTGACTGCATATTTATTCACATGGATACATGCACTTAGGTAGGTAGGTACTGCCTCAACAATAGGCAGGCAACCAACATGGATTGCAGAAGCTAACCTTGCAAAGAGCCAGTTGGGCAGCATTCTAGTTTTGCTTTGGCATTGCATTGTTTATATCAGGCAATGGTCTTTTTGTGAGAGCGTTGTGTCCATATGTGCGTATGTGTGTGTTTGTGCTTGCTACCAATTGTGGCAACGATGACGATGACAACAGCAACATGTTGCTGGCAAGCTTCATATATATGTATGTACATACATATATACATACATACTTTATATTTACCATTACATGATACAGTGGTTTGACGTGTTGACGCAGACGACTCTGCTTTGCTTAGCATGTTTGTGTGCACTTTTTAGGAGAATGAAAAAATTTCGATAATTTTATGCCTACTTGTTGCGAATAGTTTAATAGCAGTGTACTTCTCAAGGAGGCGGTGAAGACAAGAAGTCACCCTTGGCGATATTTTGCGAACCGGATTTATTTTCTTACAAACTTTCAAGGTGAGGGATTGTGCAAGTAGATACAAGAAGGAAAATGTTTTTAAGTTTAACCAAAAATGTTTCTTTTACTTTTATCAAAATAACATTATATTAATATAATTATGGTGATCAGATAATGAATATAGGAAGTTAGCAGCCATATTCAAGGTTTCGACACAAAACAAAGTCAAATAAAACAATGTATGAACACAAAATATAAGCTTCAAAACGCAATCACACACAATTTACAACACCAATGTAAGAAAAAAGTCATTACTCGATAAAGTTGTTTTATTATTTATGGCCAATGCGGCTTAACCGGTTTTTCGCTGAGCACACGACATTTTACAAACACTCGTGCCACCTCATTCTACCACCCCGCCTGATCACAGTTCTACACTGTATGCTCTGTGATCGTGCTGGATTTACCTACAATATACATATGCATACCTATTGTATGTGAGTAGTATAAGGTTCACGAATTGCATGTGCTTATGTGAATGTACATACATAGGAAACTTTAAAGGGTTTTGATAACGTGTTACACTTGACATTTGCTTATGCCTAAAAATTGGATTTATTCAGCGCAACATAGTACTTGTACAACGGTTAAAATAAAAACAAAAAATGAAAATTAAATTAACATTATGTTTATTACACAAACTTACCTCAATAAACGCAAAAATATGCAAATAAGCATATTGTAGATATATTTTTAGTTATATACCGGTTTTAGCTTATCGCACATAGCAATTTATATGTATGCAAGTATATTGCATATAAACGTAAATCGTTTTTTTTCTATTTAAAACGCGAAATAAAGAAAGTACACATTTATATACGTATGATTAGTATATTATAAACCCGCGATTGCCCGTATTACGCCAGGCAAAACACTTTAATGAAAGCACACAATCAGTGTGAATAAAAGAATCAATTCTCGCCACTTGTTAATTTTTTGTTTGCTTTACTACCACGCCGGAAGTTGCGCACAAACGCAAGTAAATTTTATTATTTAAATATATGTTTGTATGCAAAAAGCCTTGGCAGATCTTTTCAGTAATACATTCCTAATGCCTTTGCCTGAGCTGGTACAAGCTACGCGATTTCCAATTAGCTTAATATATGTTTTCTGATTTGGTAGTAGATAGCCTTGCGCGATTGAACCAGCAGTTCACTTGCATTTGTTACCTGACTGGTCACCAGGCTTTTAACATACTTAAGTATATACGTACACACCTTGCAAAACACACACAATCTTCCAAAGCGAATCCACTTTATCCAACAGGCAATTTGCCTTACCAATTGAAACACTCCACACCAGGCTCAGATATTAAATTGATATTTTGATGTTAATATAAAATATATTATCGTATATAGATTTAAAAAAATAACACTTCTTTACTGTAATTCCATTATATTCTGCAATAATTCATTAATATTTATTAATTCCGTCCGTATAAATTTCTCCGCCGATTTCTATTCGTTTTCATCCAATGACTGACAGTTGACATTTGTGACAGTTTGAGCAGAGCATAAGCAGAGAACGTAAATGACTTACAATTTACGTTCTCCGCATGGCCTACTAGCAGTATTGCCAGCTGTATATAAATGTTGTGTGTTGAGAATACAAAACGTAAATAGTTGCAAAATATTTGAGCATATAAGTGAAACAGGGTGTTAGCAAATATATAAATTACTAGTTTGCTTCATTTAGGCGAAAAGTGATTAAAAAAGCATATGTAATTAATAAATTCCTAATTAATATTCAAACTTTTTTAAAATAATATAAAATATATGTATATTTATTAGCATCTAATTGGAGCCACATACAGTAAATGTGCTGTTTTGACCTTGTATTTATTTAGCTATTGTAGGGTAGCACAAGCAACTAATTTTTTATGTAACCGTATAGAACATTAGTGCAAATAATAAAATATTTAATATAAATTGAGTGGCTACATAAGTTTCAAAAAAAAAAAAAAACCTATTGAAAATGTAATATCCTCGTTCGTAGATTTTTTTTTAGACATATTAAGGTACTTCCTGTTCTAAGTTCGTATTTCCGTCTATATTGCAACTCTGCTACTGCAAAGGAAACGGAATTCCAGCAAATAAATATAAATTAAAAGATAATAAATTGCTTTAATTAATACACATTTTTTAAATAAGATTGATATCGCGAAAATTAGTAGTAAATTCTAGGTCTGAAGTGCTGTAATAAATGGGGTTGCATAAATTTTTAATAAAAAATAGCGTATATTAATTAATTGGTGATGCTTTAAATTTCGCATCAGCAAACATATGTATGTACATATGTAAATATATCTGTATTAAAGATTGCTTACATTGAAGTCAACAATTGTTGGTTTATGTTTAAAAAGTTGCAATATAGTGTAACACAGTCATCAAACCAACATTGCGCCAGCTGTGTCGAGGTTGTAAATCAACGCTTTTTTTAACTTATAAGAAAAAGTAGCTGTTGTACTTTGTACGCATTTTAATGTCGTGTGAATTATTAAATTGAAAAAAAATAATAATAATAGTAATGCGCTTGTTCTAAAATACGTAGAAATTCTTTCCCATTAAGAAAGCTAATTTCAAATTCTAATTGCTTTCGCTGCGAAATAAAGGTTATATAAAAATAATATAATAACAATAAAGGCTTAAACAAACTCATATGCAAATTATATTACTGTATTTAATTGAGTACAAAGTAAGTGAAGTATGTGTGCTTTATAATATTCACACTTCCTTTACACTTTAGATTTCCGTTGAGTTTAATGCTAATATTTAATTCATAAAATGCAATCAGTGTTATTGCCAATTTCACATGGTCGAGTTGCTTTTTGGGCACACAGCGTCTAAGCATCTAGAAATAGAAACACTTCACTCAACATCAGGCGTGTTCAAGTATTCAATATTTCTGCAGTGAATACAAACAATAAAAAAAAACGAAAAAATGGTAACATTCAAAGAAATAATACAAATTGCTGTTATACATGTATATTTCTTCGTATTTTATTTTTCGGCATATTTCATCTATTGGTACACTGTCAAAGGACTTGTAAGTATTTTAAGCAAAAAAAAAGAACAAAATAAGTAAATTTTATTCATTTTTATTTTATAGACTTTTGGTAGTTTGTGGGTGAAAACTGTGCTAATTACATATTTGATATATCTGCTGATTGATTACTTTGTGTACCACAGTGCTTTGGATGGCAATGGGTGAGATTTTTTATGTTATTTTTATTATTTTAATTTTTATTTTAATCTTTTCGAGTGAAATAATGCATTTCGACGAAAAATTCGCTGAAAAATATGTGTGATGTGATTGCAAATTTTAATTACAAATGCAATTATTTCCGATAGTTAATACTTATGAAACATATAATAAAACCAATAAAATATTATTATATACATACATAAGTACATATCTTAATTATTTCAATTTCTTTGAAATTCCTGAAGCCATTTTGAGAAGTATTGATAAGATGATGAAGATATCTTTCAGCTCCATTCTATTACGTTCGAAACGTTTTGTCGGCATTACACGTGATTACTTTCCTGTCGAGATACGGAAAACCGCAGAGATACCACCAAATCGGAATTACATACTAGCACATTTTCCCCACGGTATACTTACGTGAGTATTGAAATGTTATTTCCGAACTATTTTCCTTCATAACATTATATAACATATTTTCAATGCCATTTTATGCTTTTAACTTCCAGACTAGCTATATCCATCAATATGCTACTTGAAATAACACCGTTCCTTCGTTTATTTCCCGGCATACGACCCAAGGTTGCAACATTAAATATTAATTTTTGTACACCATTTGTGCGTGAATTTTTACGTTATTTGGGTTACATACCATCGTCGAAAGATTCATTATTATATTTTTTGAATAAATCAAATGATCCCAAACATACTGATAATGCAGATGGTTTCACATCTTATATGCTGGGTATATCAGTGGGCGGCACACAAGAGGCACTACTTACAGAACCGGGAAAGTATACGATTGTGCTGAAAAAACGCATGGGTTTCGTAAAATTAGCAATACAAACGGGGTGAGCTGAAAGCGCTTAAATGAAATACTTTTTGTTTATTTTTATTTTTTTATGTTTTTTTTTTTCGATTATTTATTCATGCACTCATTTATAGATCACCGATTGTGCCGTCTTTTGGTTTTGGTGATGTCGATATTTATACGCCATTGGATAAAGCATGGTTTCGACCAATACAAATGTTTTATAAAAAATATTTTCGCTATGCGCCAATTATATTTAAGGGGCGCGGGAACACAATTTTGCCTTATAAGAAGAAAGTAACGTTAGTGGGTAAGTGATTTGTATCAATTAGTTAGAATAATGGTACATTTTTTAATCATTAGTTAATTTTTTAAAATATTTCTCTTTCTATTTTCGCAGTTGGCAGTCCCATTGACGTTAAGAGAACTACAAATCCAGATCCAGCGTATGTGGAAGAGATTCACACCAAAGTTGTGGCAGCTGTACGTGATTTATTCGAGACATACAAGCGTGAATATATTGAAAACAGCGAAGAAACTGAGTTAGTTATAATGTGAACAGGGCCGTCGAGAGAAAATCGGGGCTCAGGGATAATTCAACACCTTAATTTCATGATCTAAAAAATATGTTTTTTTGTACTTACACTGCAAATCAACGAGTTGGGGATTAAGATAGAATAGAACTTCAATAAAAATGAAAATGAATGAGTAATCTGGAACAATTTTTGTTTAAACAATTAATATAATATTGGCTCGGAGTTATCGCCTTTCCTCTTTTCTCAATTGCATTACTAAGTGAGAATATTTTTCAATTTACAAAAGTGAAGTTATTTTAGACAGACAATTAACTTTATTTTTTTCCACAAGTTATAGCTCTATGTAAGACTTTTCACAGATTATAGCCTGAAAAATTGATCTTTCTCATACAAAACTAAATCTTACTGCAATGACTGTAAGATAAGAACATGCGTCACATAGCTCATATGTGAAGTAACAAAATTACTGATTTTTTTCACACGCGTAGAATTAGTATCGCAATCCATGAAAATCTGTAGTCAGTTACGTCATAGATATTCTAGAAGCAAATTATTCTATATACGACAATGAAAACACCGGCCCCCTGGCAATCTATGGGCCCGGGGGGAAAAGTCCCCGATCTGCCCCCCCCCTCTCGTTGGGCCTGAATGTGAAAGTTGTTAGCTAATTAATTTTTAAGTGGAAATAATAATGAGAAACTCTACCACTTACCTGTTTGCTTATTTAAGAGAAAACAAAAATTCCAAAGATAAAAAAATGCTCAGAAAGTGACAATGTCATATTTATGTTTGCTCATGGAATACCTTAATTTCCATTTCACCAATTGTTCCAGCTTATAAGAAGAATTATAAAAGACAAGATTTCTAATAATAGCACATAAATTGGGCGCCAGTAAATTTTATATTTTAACTGAATTGCAGTTTTGAAATCAATGTGCTTAGCGCGAGCCCGAGAACAGAAAAAAAAACGCCAGGAATTTTAAAAAATCTGCAGATTAATGCCTTTAGTTCAAACAGAGAATGTAAAATTATTCCAAGTGCTCGGGTTGAAGCATATTTACAATATTAAAATATTTTGAAAAATGCTAAAACTTAAATTTTTTTAGCCGAATTTTTTTTTTTTACTGTCACGCTGTTATACTTATAGCCAATTCAAAGGAAATTATTATTTTTATTGATTTTTTTTTTCACAATAAAAAAAACTTTATTTTTCTTTTCTTAATTTCAACAGTACGCCAATATCAATTCAATAATTTCATTTAACTTAAAATAAATGAAACTGAGATTTGCGATTTTATTTCAAACATAATTAACGTTTACATTGTACATTGCGTTAGTACGTTTATATGTATTTATATAGTATAATAATATCAACCCCATAAAATATTGTAATAAATAAACCTGTGTAACTAAAAACTTTACGAAATTTATTTTAAAACATTAAAATAAAATGAAAGTTAACATAATATACGCAATTCGAAATATATATGTACGTATGTATGCTTCGTCTTAATTTCTCTTTTTCACCCGCCTATGTATGCGATCATTATACTAATTTTAATATATATTTTTTTCTCTTTAATTATTTGTCCTAGAAATATTTGCATTTTAAAATATGTATGTATGTATTTAGCATTTCTAATTAAAAACATCTCGCCAAAATCAAGCGCTAAAAGCTCAATTCATATATTTTGTTTAACAATCGTTTTGTAATTTTCCAAAAAAAAAAAAAATCGATTAGCATCTACATACATACACATAATATATATCTATGCACGCTGTAATGCATATACCCCTTTGTTTTTTTTTATTTCTATGCGTTTTAAACTTTTTTCTTCTGCACACATACGCACTCACACACACACACTTTCTACTTAGCCGTGCGCGCTTTGCTGATGTTCAACTTTTCCGCCTCGGTGAACTCCAAAATGCTCTCGATGGCCTGCAAGTGACCCTGCGAGTTCTCCTTGTCGGTTAAGAAGTAGTAAATGGCGCTCTTAAGGAACTGCAACGTCACCTCGGGATCTACGTGGGTGCGATTCTTTTGCGCTTCCAGCAAGCGTCGATAAATTGTCTGTATACACGTATATGTATGTACATTAGGTGGGCGGGTGAGCGGGCGTTAAGGAAGGGAGACAATAATAATAATGAAAGATAAAAGCGCGTATTACTTGACGCTGTATTCATATATATATATATGTATATATTTACATAAATTATTTGTTTTTTTTTCATTGTTATTAACTAAAAATTTCAATTTATTTTCGGCGTTTTCGAAACTTAAATTAAATAAATTTATTAAAAGTAAAAGAATTTTATTTTACATGTGTATGTAAAAAAGTATTTACAGTAAATTATAGAAAAACGATTTGTGCTGATCTTTTTTTGTTTGGTTTGCGAATTCCATGAATGAATGAAAAATTTTCAACATGTCGCCTACCAAGTAACCAAGTATTATGTATGTATGTTAATAAATAATATACATGAATTCATAAATATTTATATTTATGTTAAAATGTGTGATTTTACAATGAGACATTTAGATTTTAGACAACTGATTTTATGACTATTATCAAACATGAAGAGTAAGTATGTGGTGAGCGGGTGATATTATGTAAAACCTTCTTTAAATTACATGCTAAATATTTTTGCATTTCATTTGTTAGTTTTTTTTTGGTAGTAAGAAACTGTTTATAATTTAAATTTACACTAAATTTAAACGAAGTTCTTTCTTGCGACTATTCAACGCCTAAATCATTCAAGAAATATATTAAGTATTAATAATAACTAAGAGTATATGTATGTAAGAGTGGTTATACAATATTATGGCGGCTACATACCTTAGTCCACAAAATTCTTTTATATCATTTCATTTTTAAATAAATTTAAAATTATTTCCTTTGAAATTAAAGTTAAGTTGAACATAAAATTAATTGTTCCATTAACATTTTTTTAATTTGTTATTTGTGTATGCTCTGCCTAATTGACCATTCCTTAGGGTGCCATCAGACGTAGCAATTTTGATGTAATTTTTATTTTCTTCACACATTTTGATGTCTAAAATTTTTAATTTCAAAGTCTGACCACCCTGTAACTGGTTTTCGCTATTTAATTTCATATAATTGCAGAAATAAAAATTTCGGTATGTGACTGTACTCATTTCTGAAATTAAATTTCCAATTGCTCGTGCTGCACTAGCCATATCTTATTTCTCTTTAAATTGCTGTCAAAAGATTTGAGAATTGCCAAAGGGGATTTTTTAAAAAATTATTGTGAAATAAGTCAATTTCCAAGAAATATAAATACGTTATACATGATTTTTCATGTTACGCGTTACAGCTTTTGAAATTAATTTTCGAAATTTGTCCTCTTCACATGCAAATTGAAATTAATTAATTGCATTTTGCACTATTATCCTTATTTCCTTGAGCGCTCGTTGACACAAGAATAAAATTTATATTAAAATATTGCCAAAAATAACGACTTATTTCTCAATTTCAGCAATCTAAATAATCTGTCATTTTCACAGCTGATTTCTAATTTTGGCGAAGGTGTCTTTTTGGCGCTGTCTCGCAGATAATGTTGCCCATTGCTCCCCAAAGAATATTTCTAAGTATTCAGCCCAAAACGGAGAGCACCCTGGGCTATAAAAATGGATTTGCCCAACGTTTTTTTTTCCGGTTTTTTGCATTGCATCCACAATTTTTTGAGACTTTGAAAGTTCGGATATCAACAATTTTATGTGGCAACGTGGGTATTGCCTTCGCCAATATTTTAACCCGCCCAATCAATGTTTACTTTATTTTATCATTTAAATTCGTAGATAAGCAATGTCGAAAATCTTAAATTTTTTTCTACAGTTGCAAAATTTTTCTGTTAAATAGCTTTTTCACTCAACAAAACTGATTTATGTATGTATATAAGCCACAAATGAAAAGCGAATTGCAGTTGACGTCTGTAACAAAAATTACAATATTGGCGTCAAGTTTATTGTTTTTGGAAAAGAGCTCAAGTCGGAGAAAAGCTTGAAATGATTTCCTTCACTTCTGGCTGAAACTATCGACATTTTAGAAGCCATATATGGGTTTAATTCCATCTTAAAAGGGAATAGAAGTTAAAGCATAGTTTCTCCGAATAGAGAGATTTTCCTGGTGTCATTGAATTTTAACTGCCAAAAAGAATATTGGAATTGAAAGTTTTGATTTTAGTTTAAATGTTATGTGCAAAAAATGCCAACGTTTTAATTTAAACACGAAAACAACTCTGCTTCATCAATACTAAATAGTCATCGATAACAGAGCAATATCGATTTTAACAGCCTTCGTCGTTTATTGCCGACGTCGCCAACTGTAATTGTCCGTTAGTATTTTAAGCTATACATTTATTTTTAATTTGCATCAAAATAATTATTGAGCATATGTATATACATACATATATACTACATATGTTTTTTAAATGCTAAATCATCTGTTCAAGCATAACATTATGCCTTACGTTGGTGATTGAAATTAATTGCAGTTGGGACTGCACAAGGACATATATTTGTGTGTTAGTGTTTATAAGATATTTAGTAAAAAAAAAGGGAGTGGTCATTTGTCTGTGCTTCTATAATATAGAAATCGACGTAGATCAAAGTAAGACTGACGGCACTTAGAATTTCTTAATTATTTTGAATTTAAGCAACTGCTGGGATTACTCTTATTGCGTCAAAAAAATTTAATAAAAAAATATCTAAAATACCACACGCAGATTAGAAAAAATAGTAGTTTGCTATAATTATCAGTTTAAATTCTCTGACGCCTTCCCCCAAAGATGGTATGAAGTTTATGTTATGAAAAGCAACAACACGGACGTGGAATATGAAAACTGCACCCAAAGAATGTGAAAATAAAATGACTCTGCATGAAAAGCATGAAAATGAAATCAATTAAAATTACTAATACCAAATACCAATGTCAAACACAAATTAAAGCAGAAAAATTATAACCAAGAAAAAACCAAACGAATGCCAAAAAGTACCACAAATAGCACACATAAACTATGTATGTGTGTGTGTGAAAAACAAAAATAAAAAGTTGATTAAAAAAAATAATAGTAATAAATAAAAATATTAAAGGGAGGTAAAGGATAACAATTTACTAAGCTACGAGAAATTTACAAACCTTCCGGGCGCCAAGAACCCATAACGAAATTGCTTCTTTTGCAGTAAGGAGAGCATGATTACTGCCGCTTTCTTTTCTACACCCAGCTGCCTATAAAATATATGTAGTATATATAGGTAGATATTTTTTCTTTTGAAAAGTTACAAAACAAAAGAATTAAATTTTTTGTATACTATACTATGTACGCAAAAAAGAAAGAAAAAGATTCGTCTCAAAGAAAAAGGCGAAGAAACGAGAGAGTAGTTAATTACAGAATTTCACAACAAAAATATTTTTTGTTGCTAAAAAAAGAAAAATAAATTTGCTAAATAATTTTTTTTTGTTTAAGTTGAAAGTAGTCAGCACAAATCTTATTATTGTATGTGTAATAAAAAGCGAATTAATGTTTAAAATATACATTTTTACAATTATTATTAAATCTAATTTTTTTTTAGTGCTCGTTCGTTAATGCGCTACAAAAAGTGGCAAAAGTATGCATAACTTTTTTTCTAAAGCGCTTTTTAGCAATCGCACTTTGCTCTAATGTTAGTGAAAATTAATGTTTTTATTTTTTTTGAGTAGACACATGCAGTTATTTAAAAAATTTTAAATTACCAAATATTAATTAGTTTTATAAATTATAATTTTGTATGTATAGGAAATTTTCGCTTTCAATTGTTTTATTTATAATGTTTTAAAATTAAGTGTTTTTTCTTTTCTTTTTAACCATGCCCTCCTTGCATTGCCACACTCAATTCGATATGGCGCAAATGATGTTTATTTAAACACAGCGGGAATTACTGATTCGTGTTTTTTTGTTTTTGCTTTAAAAGCTGATAAAATGTGGTGAATGCTTGCTCAATTGAGTTCAATTTGTTATATTTTCAAAGTTAACTAAACTCTATTTGTAAAAAAAGTAAATGGTGAAAAATGATATTTTTAACAAAATAATTATAAAAAAAATTTTTGTATCAATAGCATTCGAAGGGAAAGATGCAAAATATGAGATCAAGGTCTTTCAGAAACATTCAAATATTTTTATTTAAATTTACCAAACTTGTTTATCCTGTTTTACTCACATTAAAAAACTTAAAAAAAATAAATACCTAAAAATATAATATAATTCTTAATAGTTTTTTAATGAAGACATTTTCGAATCGAATAATCGGGTAATTAAAATATATTATAAAAAAATAATACGATTGTAATCGAATTCAAAATGAGTTTAAGTGAAATGAATTTGCCTTAGTAATAGGGTGGTCAAAAATATACCTTTAAAAGAAATAATAAAAAATATGGAATTTTTAATATACTGTTTAATGTGAATTTTTTTGGCTATTAAAATATAGTTAATTTTTTTATATTTTATTATGTGAACATTTTTCAGAATAATTGAATTTTAACCTGTATAATGGTGCGATAAACAAAATATGTAGACCAAAACCTAAAATATAATTTTTTTGATATGAACATTGTTTATGAAAAATAAAATTTTCGGCAGATTAATGATGGGATTGAAAATAGTTTGTTTAAAAAACAAATAACAAAAAATATACGTTTAAACAGGCAGGTAAATTAAATAATATATTATGAATAAAAAAATTATTAAAGGAAACTTGATTTTTTTTAATTGCTTATGAGAGAGGTTCTGAAATTCGAAAAAATCCTAAGTTATTTATGAAATAAAAGTATATTAAATTTTTAATCCTTTATATTAAAATTTTTATTATTTTTTGTAGTATAAAATTTTTTTATGTAAATTAATATTTTCAGCTGAATAATGTTGTGACCAAAACTAATTGAAACAAAAACAATAAATTCTGATAAAATGAAAAACAAAAATATTTTGCTTAAGTTTTTGAGTTTGATTAAAATATCTTTGATCAGAAAATTGTTCCGATGAAATTTTTATTTTACAAGAAATTTTTATATCAAAACATACTAAAAAAATTTAATATAAAATAGCAGGCAATTACTTTTTTATACGGATTTTTTTTTATGGTCATAACTGTTTTATTTAAAAAATGAGTAGTTAAATATAAATATAAATGTTTTTTTTTTGATATGAAACAAAATCAAAATGATAAAATTTTTATTTTTTATTATTTTTTCTTTGATGTGAAAAAATTTTAACACATTTTATTAAAAAAAAAAAATAATCAAAATAAATTTAAATTATTTAGCATCTTTTGTTGTGAAAATTCTTTAAGTACAATCAAAATTTACCTTGATCAAAAATATTTCAAACAAATAACAATAAATAAAAATATATTAGAGTTAAAATTTTTTTTATGTGAGATAAAATCAACCAAAATAATAATCACAAAAACAAAACATAATTTATTTTATTTTTTTTTTTAATGTGACCATTTTTGAAGTAATAAAAATTTGATGAATGAAAAAATTGATGAACAGAAAAAAATTATTAAAAATTAATTAAATTTCCATAATTTAATTTAACTAAAATTTCTTTTAGTATTTTTTGGATGTGAAAAAATTGTATGGGAAATAAAATCACCGAGTAATCGTGTGATCAAAAAATAATTTATTCAAAAATATTGTAATCAAAAATAAATAAATAAAAATTGTAAGCGAAATTTTTAAAATTTTTCTTATGTGAGCGATGTAGAGTAAAATGTTCATCCGACTGATGGTGTGCACAAAATAAATAAAAATAATTAGTTAATAAAAATATTTTTTTTATATTATAATTTGAACTGAAAAAATTCAATGCAGCAGTGATTTGCATTAAAACAACATAATGTTTATATTTAATACTAAAAAAATTGTTTATCATGAATTTGAAGATTAAAATTTTTATAGTTTTTTTGTTTAATTTCCTTCTTTTTAATTTTGTTTTCATATATTTTTATATTAAATTTTTGTTTAATTTCCACCAACGATTTTATCAGCTTTCTCTAATAAACTGTTTATTTCTATATGTATGTAAACACCCGTTATATACAAATATTTCTTCACACTAAAATGCTTAGTAAATGAAACAATTTTTCTTTTATTAACTTCTTGCAAAAAACACGCCAAATTTTAATAGAAATCAAAATTTTTTTTTGTAAATACGTTAAACAAAATAAGAAGAAGCACAAGAACAGTTCAAACAAAATTACATAATAATTATGTATGCAAACAGCTAAAGGAAAGTTTTTTTTTTTTTTAAATAAATTTGTAAAATAAATTTGCTGAATTGTATGTATGTAAATAAATAATATGCGTACTTAATTAATATTATTTACTACGAGATAATCAATTGTCATTGCCATATTTGTCCTATTAAACATATTTAAACACTTTTCTAAACTACAAGCAATTTAATAATTAAATGACTAACGTCCGTTTTTCCAAATATAAAATATGTATATATGTATGTATAAAGAAATAAAATTATTGTAACGCTAACAACTGCTATTAATTATTGTATATAAAAATTTTGCATTCGCATTCGTTAAAAGCATTTGATTGGCGTATAAAATTTGCAATAAAACAAATTAAATCAAACAAATGTTTATGTTAATTTATGTATGTGTTATGGTAAGTGTTTTCAAATAATTATTTATGGTGGTGGCTCTTTAAGAATGACAAAAAAAAATGCAAAGAACTGACACACTTAACACAAGAAAATTGAATTTATTGTTTGACGGTGCAATAAATACATATTTTTTAATGAAAATACATTTTTTTGTTCTATGAAATTATGAATTGGAAAAATTTCCCAAAAATTCGCTACCATGCAATAATTAATGTTTTCTTAATAATAACAATAAATTAAACCAACATTAATAAATTAACATAAAATTAACGAATCTCGCTCTTCTGCACTCCCTCTCTCTCTTTCTCTTTCGTACGAATGCAATATGAAATGTTTGTTTGTATGCAACTCATGATACATATAACAGTAAATATATGTATGTAAGTACAGTAGTAGTTATGTAAATTAGTGTTACGTGTATGAATTACTACGTATATGCAACACTCACATAAAGAATAAAGGAGAACATTTATGTATATATATATATATAAATTTGATAAAAAATCACAATGCAATAAAATGTAGTATGCAAAATAGTATTGAAAATAGTATGAGAAATATTTTGAAAAATCTTACGCGTATATTTTCCAATTCATCTTGTGTGCTCTGCAACTGGTGGAGCAATTCATTTATAGACACCTTGTTGTCCGGTGCTCGATGTACCAATTCGAGTGCCTGTTGTGGTGAGAGAGGAAGAGAAGAATTATTTTTAAGCTTTAAGCTTTATGCGAGAGTAAATCATAGTTAGAGAATTTCTGAGTACATTTGTGCCACAAATTCTAAAGCAATGCAAAGCTTAAGTTTAGTTAGTCTCCTTTAGGTATAAGAAAAACGATCTAATTACCGTTGTTAAGAGCAATTTCGAGTATTTTAGAGCGACACCAGGACTAACCATGTAAGTCTGAAGGATTTTCGACCCTTAGACGAACCACGTTTTTTCTACAAATTTTTGAAAGGCTGCTCGTCAGTTATATACGCACCAAGTACGCTACACAACATTCATAGTTGGACGCATCGAGAGTGAACTGGCTGTAAATGAGTACACGCTTGGCGTTTCCTTAGATTTTAATGGAGCCTTTAAAAATAGTCTTTCCGTTGGCATACTAGAAGCTCTTCAAAAAAATGGATTTTGCGCAGCCGGTTGTAAGCCTCGTCGAATTCTTCCTAGGGAACAGAATTATATTTGCTGACAATGCCGATATCACCAGTTAAGCCACGAGAAGTATCCCTCTCCACTGCAACGGTGGCTCACAGTGATAGGGAAGCTCCCGCAAATCTTAAACGATTTACTTCAAAATGATCTACACACAGTGGAACCTGCTGCAAGTTAAGTGGGCTACATGTCATTCCAGCAAAAACTGAAATGGTTCTTTACACAAGGAGATATAAGCAATTTGCTTATAAATCACCCAAACTAAAAGGCGCGGAAATTTTTCTGTCTATCGAAGTCAAATATCTTGGGATAATCATCGATAGTAAGCTCAACTAGCGCTGAAATATGGCGGAAGAGGTGGGACCTAAAACCGCTTAATGTTTATTGGATTTATACAGCGGTAGTTGGACCCATTCTATTCTATGGGGTTGAGACCAGCACTGAAAAAACCACCTTTGGGAGCAAGCTGCCCTAGAAACTCTTCTTAGTTTTTTTCTCACGGATCTGTAGGTCAAACTTCCAGCAAGCTGCAATGCTATTAGACTGGAGATGGCTCAGTCTTGAAGATACCGCGCAGCATGGCACGCTCGGATATTGCAATTCGCACTGTTTCCCACGGAGTTCGATTACGCTATTTCCACTTACTGTTTTCACAATCTTTTTTTTTACAAGAATCCCGGACAGAGATGATGATGGGTGGCTTGAAACTCGATGACGCGGTAGGCAGTGGAACTCACTCACCAACGCTCTTAATCAGTTTTAATTTGAGGATACCATACTTATGCAGCGTTTTCCAAACAGAAGTTATAGCGATCACGGAAGTCGCTGAATGGTTGTGTGGATCTCTGGTTATAAACCAAACAACACCAAGTACTCGGTGAGCCAAGCAGCCATCAAGCAGCTTTTCAATGTCATACACTTAACACATTAAAAGTGATGTTAAAATGAAGAAGCGCTCTAAACTAGCTCTCGGCTGATGTAAAAAAGCTGTGGTCGGGGAACCCGGATGTAGCGATATCCCAGACTACTTACTGTCTGGCGGATGAGCTAGCGAAAGAAGTTACTACTTTAACTACAATAACCTCTACGCATGTCACGGGCGCACCTTTTTCTACGGCAAAACTCATGCTAAAACCGGCTTTCCCCAAATCAGTCAACATCAGACGGCCTAACGAAATAATTTGTAAAGTGACAAGATAGCTTTGGCCCGTGTGGAACGCTAAATGATCAAGTCCACTTGTAAAGGCAAAATGCGTTAAAACATGAAAAAAGCAATAGACCAACTATCGCGGAAAACACAGTGAACATTACTTGGGCTCCAGATTATACGAATGTTGGAGACAATATAAAGGCGACTGTTCTCAAACGCTTAGTTGGGATACCCGAGGAGAATAATAAGCCTTCTCGTTGGCTTAAACGTGGCCGCTCTTCTACCGCCCCTAACCAACCAAGCAACCATGGGGGGACGTCATCTCCAGTCTGTGAAATTCTGAAACCACAATAAATGACAATGGCATAGACGTTGCATTATCAAACTGTTATGAGGTTCGGATGACAATTTCCCGGGAATGACGATTGCGAAGGGAGGTTATGGCTTACATATGCCGCAAACTTCCAAGTCATGCGGAAGAGCATTTAAAAATACTTCACAAATATTCAGAAAGAGCGGGTGGGAGTTTCAGGACTTAACCAAATTAAAAAGCTTCTGTGGTTTCACAGCTTCTTCCCATTTACAACTTACCTGATCAGCGCGAGCAATACGCTCTGCTTCCTGCCCCTTCTGGTACATATGCAGATACATTTTATTTTGTTTATCCTCGTGCTCTGCCAGTTTACGCTGCAAGTCTTCCAATTGCTTTTCTAACTCTCGAATGCGTTCTTTGGCGTGCTCATAGTCGGGTACAATATCGGCATAGCGTGTATTACACTCAGCCAACTTCTGCAATAATGCCTCCACCTTATCATTGTGTGAGCGCTTCAACTCGCTGCTAGCGCCATCTTGCGTACGAATCAGCTCCTCAATCTTTTGTTCATAAATACGTATGAGCTCTTGGCGTTGCAGTTCATAGTTCTTAATAGTGGTTGCGTAGTCTTCTTCTTGGGCACCAGCTGACACGCACGCCTCATGACATACAGTTTCATTGGTGCCAATTACTTCATCACTACCGCATGCAATATCTTGTGTATGCGCGGCATAAGAATCCTTCGAATGCACAGATAAATCCTCGAAATGACCCGAATCGGCAAAGGAGCTTTGCATTTCCGACGCCAATTGTTGAGTGTGATGCAAATGCTGGCTATGTGGATGGTGGAGTTGATGCTGATTGGATATGTGACGTGGACTCGATTTGGTCGCATCATCGACCATATCAACAATGGGTGAAACATCTTGTGATGTTTTCAATTCGGCTTCGCGCACAGTTACCGCATCGCTCGATGCCGAACGCTCCTCAGGTGAGCTCAGTGATGCTTTGAAGAGACGCAATTCAACAACTTCGCGTGTAAGACGTAAAATCTCGGAATCTTTTTGCTCCAAATCTTGACGTGCCAGACAAAGCAACTCCTTGAGGCGACGTACCTGGCGTGCAGCGCGTTGTGTGGGCGTTAAGTAGTCAGGGCCCACCTGACCGGCATAATTCGAACAATGTACGACATATTTCATCTTGCGGCCGCTGAAAGTAGTGCCATTGCTGGGAATGAGAGTGGAAAATTATTCTCTGAATATTCGAAATAAATTACTGTGAACTCACCGTGCAACATACGGATGCTCACAGGACATGGTCGAACGGCCGGATGTGGTGGTCGCAAATGAATACATCGAATCTAAATCATCGTCCAGATACGTACACGGCGAATCCGGTGTGACGGGCGGTGTCTTTGGCGTTAGCTTCGTTTCCTGCGGATTGGCGTTTGGCGATGATTTCACGTAGCGTTGACCGGGTATAGCAGTATTATGCGGTGTTTTAGGCGAGATGGAGTTAGCCGGAGTTATCCTAGTGCCAGTATTTCCGCTGCCTGTTGGTGTGACTGGTGATGCTGCTGCTGCTGCTGGTGCTGCTGCTGTTGGTAGTTTCGTTGTTGTCGTTCGTTCGCCGCCGCTGCCGTTCAAATTCAAAGACTGATTTGTGTGTTGTGGCGTAGAGAAAGGTTGAAATGTTATTAAAGTGAAAAATTAGTATACGTACAATGAGCGGTGTTGCGCGTTCGACGCCCAGCGGACAGTGGGCAGCGCGCGCGCAAGAAACAAAAGAAAAATAATAAATGTTTATAACTAATTTTTTTTTTTTAATTTTTTTCTCATTTAACATATACATATACTACATACGTATACTAAGAAATTAATGATTTCAATACTTTCTATTCATGTCTACCAGCTAAATTGTGTTGATTTTGATTGTGTATGTTGGTTGTTGTTGTTACTAATTTTGTGGTTAATTACTAGTAAGCGGTCGATTGGCTTGCAATTTTGTTGTTATTTTTTATGTTTTTTCTCTATTTTTTTTTTTGTTTTTACAAAATGTGAAGGTAACCACCACGTACTATACTCAAAGTCAGCGCACTAATACACTGAAACCAAACATGGTTACATATGTACAAACGTTATGACGGTCTATTTAGGTAGCTGATGAATCGCTACTGCTGCAAGCAGCGCAAAATGCTTGCAATGATGCTTAATGTTGTTTTAAAAATTGGCATTAATAAAACAAAACAATAAAAATTAGGTATTCAGCATTTGCGTGCCGCGCATCCACCGCGAACAGCGTGAACTAATCAAACCACTCGAGCATAATTTTTCGCTCCCCTCCCTCCCCGATCTACAACGATGGTGCAGCAAAGTGGGGAATTAAGAAACAACCACATGAATCGCAACACAAGTGAATGAAGTCGTAAAATAACTTCTATGACTAAAGCTTGAACATGGCTACTAAGTGATTATCAGAGAAAAAAAAGAAAGAAAAAAACAACAATAACAACAAAAAATTGCATATAGTGAAAATAAAAGAAAAAGATCAAGTGCCGGCGAGCTCATTTTAATAGCTGTAACATAAATAGTTGTGGTCAATTTTCTGCTCGAATGATGGATGTGCCGATAAATACCCACATACATACGAGGTGTGTTCAAAAAATAACGGGAATAATATGCATACGAGGTGTGTCCAAATAATAACAGGATTTTTTTTTCAACAAAATGCTTTTTAATTTGTTGTTGTTGCTGTAGCGTTTCACCAACCTCGCCTAGTAGCTTACGAGAGTATTTAAGTCCTCAGGGCAAACTAACAGGAGGTCCAGGAAACGAGCTGTTTTGCCGAGTTCGGACCAGAAGGATGAGTTGATTTGAAGGGACTTGAAGAGAGTTGGTTAGTGTCGTGCAAGAGCTCATGGCATGCAGGACATACGTTTGGTACATCTAGGGTCACAAAAACCTTTTATTAATTGTCCTAGTAATATTTGGATCTCTTTCTCTAGGCAGTCTAGGCAGGTGAAGAACTTCGCATGTACTATTTGGGGCTTGGATTCTGAGAACACTGGAAGAGAGTTCATGTGGATGCTGTCGGGCTCTCGAAGGGTGCAGTGTGATATATGTCACCGTCAGCCTAGACAACGATTTGACCGTGGCCCAGAGGTTTGTTGTCCCAGAAGACCTTAATCGTTCCTTCTACTGGTTCCGCTTGTGTTGGTCGATCGTATATCGATTCTCACGGTAGCCGGTTCTACAGATTGGAGTTGACGCGGTTTTTATTCGGTGAAGGCTGTCACAACGTTTAGATTATCAGATAATTCTTATATGGTCCTGATATTGTCGCCTTCTAAATAGTCCCCACAAGAGATTATGCGATTATGTTAACACTTCTTCTGATCCCCGGAACGGTTCTCGAACTCGTTCTTTAAGGTTGCCTTTGGGACATTCACCGATACGCTGACGGCTGTAAAACGACGATACCTTAAGGTAGTATAAAATCACGCGGTGCCATATCTTTTGCATATGTTTCCTAGGACATGGGTATGGTAGTGGGAGATGCTGCATTATCGTTATTTAAAAAACCTTAAAAAATTGTTTTCTTTTCTGGATTGCTTCACGTAAACGCCATTGGACTTGTAGGTAGTACTCCTTTCGGCCGTTTGTTCGGGTGGCAGAAATTTACGATGCACTATACCTTTAAAATCGAAAAACGCAGAGAACATGAGCCTCTTTTAAGATCGCACTTGTCGAACCTCTTTTGGTTTTGCCAATCCAGAATGCCTCGTTGAGCGTTGATTTCGTGGTCGTATTGGCGTAGACTTCCCTTACCTGATTATGGCACGCCAATTGCTTATTCTTTTTATCATTTGTCGTCAATTCGAACAGTTGAGTCTTTCTCCATCTAATCCTTCCAATGGAGTGAAGGTATTCATCTTCCACATAGTCGCTTTATTCGCTGAACTGTATCAATGTCATCGGCTACGGTTTTCGCCTTTCTCTCGAAAACTCCTGACGCCGACTCATCAGATATTGACATTGACAAGCCTCCGCACCTTATCGGAAACCATTTTTGGTATCAGACAGCTCCTGACCGATTGCCTTTTAGTGTTGTTTAACATAAGTTTGCACAGCCGCATATGATTTTGCCATACCACATAAAATATATCGGCATTTGGACAGCATGCGCTGTCGAAGGCTATTTTAAAATCGACGTAGAGGTGGTGTTTGACGATCCTCTTTTCGGGGCTCTTTTCTAAGATTTGGTCAATGGTAGATTTATCAGTTCTAAGGTCACGCTGGTAAGGCGCATTCAGTTTTTTGACTCTGGGCTTTAGTCTTTCACATATTACGGTCGTTAGAACATAATATACGATATTGCGGTAATTGGCGCACACTAGTTTTCGAATCACTGCCATTCAGCCGGATGGAGAAGTGTTCGCTTCATGGGTTCAGGATACTCTGATTATCAGTCCCTAGAGTATCGCTTGGTTGTACTGGGACGTCCACTTACAAACCACGAGAAAATTAAAAAATTCCTGTTATTTTTTGAGCCCACCTAATGCTTATATACATATGCACAACCAAACACACATAAAATCGAAATCAAATGCAAACGTTTGGGCAAGCGCAGTAAAATAAAGAGTGAACTGTTGAATGGCAACATAAATAAAATTTCTTTAGATTAACAAATTAGTAAGCAGCAAACAAAATATAAAAAAAGAAGATAATTTAACTTTTACACCTTTGCAGCTGATTGGCTTAACAGTGCCACGCGGTTAATCCATTCATCATTTTACATCCACATTTACCGCAACACCTTTCCACTAGACTAATTCGAAATTTCCTCATAATTATTTACCGCTTTTTTATTTGCGTCTTTTTCGTAACTTCTAAAGCTGCACTCGCTCCGTCTGTAATGGACTCCAACAAATCCATTCATCTCATCTCTCTAACCAGCTGTGCGCTCGCACCTTGTACCCCTATCATGTAGCGACCGCGACATTAAGCAATTATGATTACATACATACATATTTACGCTGCAGGAAGTCGAAATTGTGCCACTGTAGAAAGGTTTTGTGCCAATTGTTGAAATTTCTTCTTCTTCTTTTTTTTGGAATATTTTTATAATCGTTTTTTTCTCACTTCTTCATTTTCGCAATCTTTTGGTTTTCCGTTAAAACTTGTATTTGTATCTAACTGTTATTTTTTAATTTTTCATTTCCGACAGTCACGTTTTTTAAACATATTCACACATTCTAAAATATGATAAATAGCCATGAATGTAGTGCGCGTCAAAGTTAGCTAATGGTACGCTCATGGAAGTTCGAATCCATATCTGCGAGTATATGTGTGTGTACATAGTAAGTAAAGTATAATAAAATTTTAACCCATATTATTTATATTATTTATTTATTATGAGAGCATACATGTCATGCCTAAAAACTTCTTCTTCTCTTCATTGGCTTACGTGATTATAGTGCGCCACTCCTTCACTCTCTTCACTGTTTAGCGTTAACAGGAAACACTAAGTACAGTAACTGAGTAAGTAAATATCTCATTCTTTCAACGGAGTGAAGGTCTACCATTTCCTCTGCTTCCATTAATGGGCACTGCATCGAATACCTTGACATGACCTAGCCAGCGAAGCCGCTGTCCCTTTATTCGCTGCACTGACGGCCGCATTATCCGAATGGCTAGGATTGCATACTGCCATTCTGAAGATCAGGGTGCGAGTGCCGGTTCGACCAACCTCACAAGTTATAGAATATTTTTTTCCAATTGTAATCGACCCTCGGCAGGGAATTTCAAGCCCTCCGATTGTATTTCGGACATGAAATAAAGGCTCTTCGTATCATCAGCCGTAAATATAAACTGGAGCTCCTTCCATTATTCGGAAAAACACCAAGACGCACATAACAAATTGGAAGAAGAGCTACGCTGAAACCGCTTACAAGGCCCCGATCATACCATATGCTCTTCATGAGCCGTTCAAGCTACGAGGAAGTGTTTTCAAGTTCGTGAAAAGAGAGGATTCCGAGGTTTCGTTGTTATTAGACAATTAGTCTTTGAGCTATCAACCGAACAACATAAACGGGAGTGAAGTCGTTCAGCTAATTATTCCCTCGCCTCTAACATTCGTCGTTCTCAATACGCAGAGGACCACTAATCATCTCCTCCAATGTTGTCATGTTGCTGTCGTTGTTGTTGTAACCGCAAAAATATTCTCCAAGGTACCTTTTGGGAAATGTTGCAGGAGTGACAGTTCTTGGCCGGGAAAAATCCGGATCGTTCCGGTATAAAGACCCGACTGTTGCGGAAACTATTGGATTTTAGTCGCCTCTTGCGACAGGCACGCCTTACAGCGGGAAAATGCTACCATCGTTCATGCCTCCGCACCGTATAGCAGGACGGCAATGATGAGTGACTTGTAGAGTGAGGTGTTTGTTCGTCGGGAGAGGACTTTACTTTTGAATTGTCTACTCATTCCAAAGGGGCATTTAATTTCAAGGCTGGTTGTTCGCAGAAAAAATTTCGTCTTGCCCTCGTTGATTGCCAGATCCACACTTCTCGCTTTCTTATCCAGTTTCGAGAAAACAAAACTTATAGCGCGTTATCAATGTCATGGGTGAACTCTTATAGAAGATGTTACCTTCTTT